ACCCCTTCTTTACCTTGGTGTGTTATGGTATGTTACATACCCCCTTTTAACCCCTTTTACAATATAATAACCCAAATAACAATACATACTTAACAATTATCAAATATTTTACAAGAGTTTCTAACCAATTTTTGACAATTTCCCGCTCTAACTATTTGATCAGGCTTCCAGCCTGCATCAACTTTTTAAGGTTCAACTTCTACGTTTCTCAATTTCTAGTACTGTTCAAGCATATCTCTGGCTTCACTCTGTTCTTTCATTAACATCACTTTTCTACCACTTTTCCCTCCCACGTTCCCTTGCAGCACGATGCTGCTGTGGACAATGCTGGTTACTATCCGGACTGGACATGGAATTGCACATGGCAGTAATATTACACTTGCTAGTGCACACACCACAAAGAAGACCAATTCCTTCCACCATTTACCATTCCAGGTGAACAAGTTGTCCCACCAATTGGAGTCTCCAAACAGAGTGGTCCATTTTTGTGCTCTAACACAGGTTAGTTTTCTAATATTTTGAGTAGTGTTTTTAATTACGTGACTGTGGTCATCCATCTCTAGGCAGCATTCTGAAGTATTAAATTTCCCACAGTTCCCTCCTTCTTCTGCAAGGAGGTAGTGCACTGCCAATCACATTTGGCAAATCACTGATCGTGTTTGTGGTTGCTGCTGGTTTAAGAGATCGATGGTCAGAGCTGTTGGATTGGACATGATTTCAAGTACTGCTTGTAGATGGATGATTCCATTGAGCATGGATTCTGGGGTTCTGTAGCCCCAGGATCCATCCTGGGCCCAGGCAGCCAGCCCATAAGTATCAATAATCCTTTCTGGGGTCCAAATATCATTGTTTCAATTTTGGGTTCTGCCCATTAACTCCTTTCTGGCCAGATCATCATCTACTGGGACTTCCAAGTTTGATTTTGCATCCTCAGGCAGTAAGAAAAAGGATGGTTTTATTGCTCCAATTGTGCAACTCCCACTCCACCCTCCTGGTAACTTCACAAATGCCGTGTTACCACAGATCCAAAATAGATTTTTAGGTGCATCCCAGAAATTAGAATCTCGACTTGTTATATGTTTCCAATATTTGGATAAGGTTTCTATTACCCAGAATGGGTTGATATAATCTCCTAAGCATTCAAACGTTTTTTCTTTTTCCCTGTATACACATCGAATTTCAGTTTTTTCTATTGACCAATATGAATGGGGGATTTCTGGGATCCACAAGGTGTGTGTGTCATTTGCTGCCAGATACCTTTTACGTGGAGTTTCTCCTACTTCTATAGTATACATTTCCGCTTTTCTTGATAAACACTCTTCCCCTATGATTGTTGATTTTCGCTTCCACTCTCCTTCCCATTTTTTTTGTACTACCACATTTTTTTCTTGATGTAATCCTTTTTAAAATGTCTAGGGGGCCTAAACTGATACCGTCCCATGGCCAAATTCCACTTAAGTGTGTCCTCCCGCACACCCAACAATCAGTTAGATTAAATTCTTTTGTAATCTTTTCCATCATACTGATAAAAAGATTCTTTCCATGTGTTTGTCCCTCTCTGTCCCTTTGTCATTCCAATTGCACTTTTTTCTCTTTGAATGCATGCTCTAAGTTGGTTTCACTTTCTTGTTCAAAACAAACCCATCTTCCTTTCATGGGGCACTCTCCTGACATCTTCTGGCTTGTGGTTGCAATATTTTTAGCCAGCTGTGAAATTGCATATTTTATGATTGGTTTTTCTCAAATATTAAAATGAATATTAGATGTGTTATGTTTTAAAAGTTATGCTGTATTAATTTTTTTAAGTAGTGTGTTAAATATAGTTTTAGGTTATAACATAATGTTAAAATAGAAACAATGTATGTAAGATATTTTTTTAAAGAAAGGAATGAGGCACTCGCACCAAGACAGCAGCCACAGGTCACCTAAATCTTTCAGAGAATGAGAATTTATTGCTCCATGATCAGAAGAAATGACCTTCATCCCGCCTTGCCCAGGCCTGAAGATGCCATTAGGGTTAAGAGGAAGAAGTTGACCCTGCCCAGACAGAATCCTTTGTTTGGGCATAGCTCTCATAAACGATGTATAAATTCCATCCTAGAGTAATAAAAATTTGGACAATTGAGCAATTGAGATTTAGGATAATATGAGGCAATTAGAACAGAGTTACGGACGGTCTGGGTACCTCTTTCTGGGCGAAATAAGCCCAAAACACACACACACACACACACACACACACGCAAACACATAGTTTACCAGAGGATTAACCCTCAAAAGCAACAAAGCAACAGCCTGTTGCATATTCATAACTGCCTTAGAGTAGAAAGTCACTGTCTAACATAGGGGATAGGTATTGGAAAATAACTGTAAACATAGTATACGTAGTTTTTAGTATAAAAGATAGCACCAGCCCGAGAGGCGGGGAGTGTGCCTCAGACAGACCTGCAGAACAGACCTTGGCAGGCCAGACAGAAAATGTTTTAGATAAAAAATAATAAACAACCTTGAGAACGACAGCCGAAGACTTCTCGACTCTTTCTTCAGCTGCTGGGGAGGGGAAAAGAGACTTTTAACAGAGACACACCTCGGGATCTTCCCAACCAGACCAGACCAGAGGAGATCCCGAGAGATCATCAATCATCCACACCCAGGAAGAGTAAGGACCTGGCCACAGCCCAAGCTCAAACTGGATGGTTTGCAGGATTACCTTTTCTGTGTAAAACTGTTGTCAAACTCAGAAGTACTGAGAAAACCTCTGGAATGCCATGGCCACAGCCTTTAATTCAACCACTTGGGCCGAGGCTGGCTCGTGGCCTTCCAACACTTTGAGCTGTCAGTGAAGATGGTAGTTCTTTCCCCCTCCTTTTAATTATTTTTTTAAAATTATTTTCTTTCTTTTCTTCAGAAGGCCAGCAGCGGCGGCGGGCAGTGTGACTGAGACATGGTGGGTGGGATGGGACACCCGGGCTCAGCGGGCAGGCCAAGGGACCCAGGCCCTGTGGGCAGGGCGGTGACACCGCCACTGCCGAGCCCAGATTCATTCGGCTCGTTCCCTTCCCCCAGCTTTGCACTGCTGTCATTTGGGGCCCCTGGATCTGGGGTCCCTGGGACAGCCTGTGCCCGTCCCGTGATGGGGGATTCACTCCCACCTTCTCCTTCAAGAACTGTGGACACGGGGATGAAGCTGGGAGCACTGGGCTGGTGGCACTAGGACAGGATGGGACACACTGGGATGGGACTGGGTTGGTGACATTGGGCTGGTGGCACTGGGCTGGTGACAGTGGGACAGAACTGGGAACACTGAGGCACAAATGGGAACACTGGGACAGGGGCACCGGCACAGGATGGGGGACGCTGTGACACAAATGGGAGCACTGGGATGAGGACACTGGGATAGAACTGGCGACACTGGGACATAAATGGGAATGCTGGGATGGGGACATTGGTACAGGATGGGGGACACTGGGATGGTGACAGTGGGACAGAACTGGCGACACTGGGATAGAACTGGCGACACTGGGATAGAACTGGCGACACTGGGACATAAATGGGAATGCAGGGATGGGGACATTGGTACAGGATGGGGGACACTGGGATGGGACTGGGTTGGCGACATTGGGCTGGTGGCACAGGGGATGTGGTGCTGGGACAGGACTGGGGACACTGGGACACAACTGGGGACACTGAGACAGGGACACTGGGACACAACTGGGAACACTGGGATGGTGGCATTGAGATGGGACTGGGGACACTGCGATGGGACTGTGCACCCTGGAATGGAACTGGTGATACTGGACACAACTGGAAACACTGGAACAGGACTGGGGACAGTGGGATGGGGATACTGGGACAGGATGGGGGACACTGGGATGCTGGCATTGGGGTGGAACTGGGGACACTGGGGTGGAACTGGGGACACTGGGACAAAAATGGGAACACTGGGACAGGGATGCTGGGACAGGATGGGGAGCACTGGGACAGGATGGGGCCACTAGGATGGTGACACTGGTATGGGGACAATAGGGCGCTGCCACTGGGCTGGCAGTGAGAGCACTGGGATGGAACTGGGGACACTGGGTTGGCACTGGGTTGCTGATGTCAGCATTAATTAATTAATTAACCCACCAAGCCCCGATTGTTTGCGAAGGCAAATCTCTTTTTCCATCCATCAATCAGGGGAACCCTTCCCATTGTCCCTTTGGTCTCTCAGCGCCGCTTTGATCTCCCCCAGAGCCAGAGCGAATGTCCAAGGAATGGCTCCCGCCGGAAAGGGGCGGGACGAGGTGATGTCACCCCCCAGGCCCCGCCCACCACAGTGCCATGGCTCGCTGGTGGCCAGGTGACACCGCAATGTCCCCTCCCCCAGGGGACACCTGGCAGGACACGGCCACTGTGGGCAGGGCCAGCAGCAGGTGACCGTCCTCGGCCACCCCAGGGACACTGCGGGGACACGGGGACAGCGCACAGGTGCCACCAGGGACATGGCAGTGCCACCTGTCCAGTGGCACCAGTTCTGTCCCAGGCTGGTGGAACTTGAGTGGCCACAAGTCTCCCCAGTGAGGTCACTGCCCCGATGACGTCACAGCGGTGACATCACTGTCTCCGCAGCAGCCTTGGGATGTCCTCGATGGCTTTTTGGCACCGCTCAAGCACCGCGTGTCTGCTGGGGACATCAAAGATACTGCGACCACCACAGGGACTCAAGAGGATGTTGCCACCACACTCCTAGTCCCTGGCACCCTCTGCTGTCCCTTCTGCCACCTTCTGCCAGCCCGTGTCCCCTCCCCCACCCAGTCATTCCCATCCCCCACAGCCCCTACCCCCCCACTTTTCCCACCACCCCACTGACACCTCTCCCCTTCCTGCCACTCCCTCCTGTCCCCTTTGTGACCCCCTGTCCCCTCCTGCCAGGCCCGTGTCCCCCCCATCCCCTATTGCCCCCTCCCCCTGCCTCGTGCCCCCACCCCAGTGTTCCCTCTGTCTTCTCTCCCCCTACCCTGTCACACCTCTTGGAGCTCCATGCTCACTAGGGACACCTTGGGGATGATCTGGGGACACTCCAGGGGTTGAAGGAGCCTTGGGATGTCCTCAGTGGCTCTTTGGCACCGCTCGGCCACTTCCCTGGGGCTGACGGGAGCACCATCAAAATAGAACTTGATGATGTCCCCAACTGTCCACAGCAGGTGATCCTTGGCCAGGCGGATGTTGGCCTCCCACAGCTGCTCGGCCTCGGCCACCTTGGCCACCAAGTCCTCGGGGACATCGGAGGACTCCCCATCTATCTCCTCCAGGGTGATCTCGATGTCCTCAACCCTGCGCAGCAGCTCCCGGGGGAATGCGGTGGCTGCGTCACACGCTGCTGCCAAGTGCTGCAGCAGCCCCAGGGCCACCTCCGCCCACTGTCTCACCTTGGGGGCCGCTGTTGACTTGCTGGCAGCTGCCATGGCCTGTCTCCTCACCCAGGCTTCATGCCCGGCCACCACCTCGGCCCCCTCCTCCCTGCCCAAGGCCTGACCCAGAGCCACCATGTTTTCCTGAGCTGTCCCATCACGGGCAGCCTTCTCCTGCAGCTTCCTTTCCCAGGCGGTGGCAGTGGCTGCCATGTCTGCCGCCTCAGCTGCCACCCTCCTGCAGGCATTGCGGAGCTTGGTGGCCGCCCAGGCCAGCTCAGCCCAACTCTCCTCAAGTACAGCCACCGAGTGCAGCCACTCGCTGGCCGCCATTGTCACATGGTCCCAGGGGGTCCATGGCATGCTCTTGTAGGCGGCCAGGGCCCGGCTCAGGAAGGTGACAGGGTCATCATCGTCGCAGATGACATTGCGGCGCCACCAGGTGTGATCAGTGTGATGCAGGGTGGCCCGGAGCTCCTTGGTGAAGTCCATCAGGTCCCAGTACAGGCGCAATGCGGACACGGGCTGCATCTCCTCCTCCAGCCTGGGCAGGGTGGCCAGCAGCTCGCCCAGGGTGGCCACCACAGTGACCTGTGGCTGCAGCAGGGCTGGGGACAGCTGTGGAGGGGACAGGGGAGGTGTCAGGGACCTCATCGCACTGCTGTGCCACTGCTGCTGTCCCCTCTTCCACCCCCTATATCCCACTGCTGTCCTCTCTGCCACCTCTTGGCCCGCACCCCGGTCCCCTCACCGCCATGTCCCACCCATTCCTCACTGTCCCCTACCCCCTGTGTCCCCTCACCACCTCCATCACCTGTCTCTTTCTTGCCACTCCCTCCTGTCTCCTTTGTGACCCCCCATCCTCTCCCACCATGCCCCCGTGTGCCCCCAACCTCCACTGCCCCCTTCCTCCACCCAGTGTCCCCTCTGTCCCACTCTCTCCCCACTCCCCTTCGTACCTCTTGGGGCTCCACGCTCCCTGGGGATCCGGAGGGGACGCTCTGGGGATACTCTGGTGGTTGAACGTGCCTTGGGATGTCCTCGATGGCTCTTTGGCACCGCTCGGCCACCTCACAGCCGCTGAGGCTGGTGGGACGATCATCAAAATAGAACTTGATGTCTGGAAGTGTCCCCAGCAGGTGATCCTTCACCAGGTGGGCGTTGGCTTCCCACAACTGCTCGGCCATGGCCACCTTGGCCACCAAGTCTTCGGGGACATTGGGGGACGCCTCATTTGTCCCCTTCAGAGCAGCCTCAGTGTCCCTGAGCAGGCGCTGCAGCTCCTGGGGGAAGGCGGTGGCTGCGTCACACGCGGCCACCAAGCGCTCCAGCAGCCGCAGGGCCACCTCCACCCGCTGTCTCACCATGGTGTACCTGGTTGTCAGGCTGACCTTTGTCCTCACCCGGGCTTCATGCTCGGCCACCACCTCGGCCTCCTCCTCCCCTCCCAGGGCCTGACCCAGCTCCACCATGTTTTCCTGAGCTGTCCCATCACGGGCAGCCTCGTCCTGCAGCTCCCTGGTGCGGGCCATGACCTGGGCCACCATGTAGGCCGCCTCAGAGGCCGCGTCCCTGCAGGCATTGCAGAGCTTGGTGGCCTCCCTGGCAAGCCGGGCCCAGCTGTTCACAAGCGCATGCACCAACCCCTGCCACTTGCTGGCCACCATTGTCACATGGAACCAGGTGGTGCATGTGGTGCTCTTGTAGGCGGCCAGGGCCTGGCTCAGGGAGGTGACAGGATAATCATCATCGGAGGTGACATTGTGGCGCCACCAGGTGCCATCAATGCAGTACAGGGTGGTCCAGAGCCCCCTGGTGAAGGCCACCAAGTCTGAGTAGAGTCTCACTGAGGACACGAGCATCATTTCCCTCTGCCTGGGCAGGGTGACCAGCAGCTTGCCCAGGATGGCCACCACGGCCACTTGTGGCTGCAGCAGGGCTGGGGACAGCTGTGGAGGGGACAGGGGAGATGTCAGGGACCTCATGGCACTTGTGGCCTCCTGTGGTGGCCCCCTGCCCCCGTGGGGTCCCCTTTGTCCCCTCTCTTCCTTTGTCAACCTCTTGTTCCCTCTGCCACCCCCTGTCCCTCACCTCATACCCCCTCCCAGCCCTTGCCCCCACTGCTGTCCCCTCTGCCACCACCTGCCAGCCCCCGGGTACCCTACCCTCGTGTCCCCCCCATACCCCATTGCCCCCTCTTCCCCCTTTCCCCCCCACCCCTCTGTCACCTCTCCACTTCCTGCCACTGCCTCCTGTCCCCTCTGCAAACCCCTGTCCCCTCTCGCCATCCCCCTCTGTCCCTCCTCACTCCATCGCACCTCTTGGGGCTCCATGCTCACTGGGGACACCTTGGGAACACCTTGGGGACATGCCGGGACCTGAACCAGCCTTGGGATGTCCTCCGTGGCTCTCAGGCACCGCTCGGCCACCCCACAGGCACTGGGGCTGGCGGGACCACCCGTGAAATAGGCCACCTCCCTGCAGGTGTTGGAGAGTTCGGTGGCTGCCCTGGCCAGCTGGACCCAGCTGTCCACAAGTGCGGCCACCAACCCCTGCCACTTGCTGGCCACCATTGTCACACGGTTCCGGGGAGTCCATGGAGCACTCTTGCAGGCAGCCAGGGCCTGGCTCAGGGAGATGGGCGGGTCATCATCATAGGAGGTGACATTTTGGTGCCACCAGTTGCCATCAGTGCGGTACAGGGTGGCCCAGAGCTCCCTGGTGAAGGTCACCAGGCCCCAGTACAGGCTCTCTGCCGACCTCAGTAGCATCTTGTCTCGCCTGGGCAGGGTGGCCAGCAGGTCATCCAGGGCGGCCACCACAGCGACCGGTGGCTGCAGCAGGGCCGGGGACAGCTGGGGAGGGTACAGGGGAGGTGTCAGCCCCTCTCTTCGTAGCCACTCCCACTCTCTGCTGTCCCCTCTGTTGCCCCCTGCCAGGACACTCATAGCCCCTGCCACCCCCCGCCAGTGCCTGTATCCCCACTCATCATGTCCCCCCATCAACCACTGCCCCCTACCCCCCCTTTCCCCCCCCCCCCTCTGTCCCCTCCCCCCTTCCTGCCACTCCCTCCTGTCCCTTTCGTGACCCCTTGTCCCCTCCCACCACCCCTCCTGTCCCATCCATTCACCATTGCCCCCTCCCCACCCCGTGCCCCCTCCCCTCCAGTGTCCCCTCTGTCCCCCACTCCCCCACCATGTCACACCTCTTGGAGCTCCATGCTCACTGGGGACACCTTGGGGACGCTCTGGGGACACTCCGGGGGTTGAAGGAGCCTTGGGATGTCCTCGATGGCTCTTTGGCACCGCTCGGCCACCCCACAGGCACTGGGGCTGGCGGGATCACCATCGAAATAGAACTTGATGTCTTGAAGTGTCCCCAGCAGGTGATCCTTGGCCAGGCGGGCGTTGGCCTCCCACAGCCGCTCGGCCACGGCCACCTTGGCCACCAAGTCCTCAGGGATGCCGGGGGACGCCTCATTTGTCCCCTTCAGGGCAGCTTCGGTGTCCCTGAGCAGGCGCTGCAGCTCCCGGGGGAAGGCGGTGGCTTCGTCACACGC